CCCTCTCTCTCCCTCTCTCTCCCTTACCCCTTACCCCTTCATCTCTAGCTCTTTTCAGACATTAAAAAGCGGTCGCCGCCAGCTTGATTCTCCTTGTGAAATTCTACTTGCCAGTATTAGGGTGCTTTCTTATCTTGGTCGTCGCGCACGTGGTTATCCCCCACCCCTTCTTTCGCTGCCCCCTTCCCGCACTTCTCCATAGCTCCTCCCCCCGCTGCTTATCCAGAACAAGGTCGACGCGGTCAAGTCCAAGGATGCCTTCTGCCGTATGCCCCGAGGCGGTATAGGTCCCAGCACCCTCCTCCCTCCTTGTCACGCAGCGTCACGCACTGCCCTCTGATGATAAACGCATTACGGTTAGTTGCCATTCTCATGAATATTGCGTCACGGTTCGCGGTTTCGCGGGCGGCGCACGGTTGATGGATAGGGGGAGGGGACCGCCGCTCTGTGATGGAGTCGGCACGGTCTATAGTGCTAGTGCTACGAGTCGAGTGAGCGGTTAGTAGGCGGTTGAGAGTGAGTGAGTGAGTTAGTTTATTTTTGTTTAGTTTATGCATACCGCCATTATTCTGCTTTTAAAAGAGCACACACTCAATCCCTTGACTTGTTGATAGACTATCAACGTATTTGTGTAATAATATCATGAAAGTGTTATTAACACTGCGTGAAAAATTTGTTTTACATGCGTACATCTTTTCACTCTTGCTCGGCAGTCATCGATTCCAAGTTATACGTCGTGCTTCGAAATCAACAATTTTGAATTTGTACGATATCTTCCATAGAAAATTTTCTTGTACCCGTAACGACAATTTTTTTAAGTATATACGATTTTGTTAATAGTGCTTAATCCACACCTACAAGGGCTTTTGTGTGATTGTTGCGTTATAGATGGACTACTTGTCTGTGGAGTGCACCGTAGAGGATTTTGGGTAATCGGCGCGCCTCAGTTCGGCTGTTGTTGTTAGGTTGCTACGGAATAAATTTGTGGGTACCGATAAAAAATATTGTTTGTTACCTGAAGACTGCGGGGGATTGTTTAGCAAGGATCGCGGAAACCTAGTTAAGTAATCTGGAGAGCGCAATATAATAATGATGAAGGGATAAGACCTGCTCCTATGTAGAGCAAAACGGCTACTCTGGAAAAACAAGTGTCGCCAAGTGCGCAACGTTTCTTGATGTATTCTCAGGAGAACATGTTTCTTGATGCGATCTACTCCATATAAAAGGATTGGAGCGTCACAGCGAGAATGCATCAGGAACCGTGTTCTCCAGAGAATTAACATGTCAAGAAACGTCGCGTACGCAACACTTGTTTTTCCATTCTACGAGAAATCCTAGCAACCCCTCCGAAGGCTGTACGAGGGGACGTAAAAGAGATCTGATAAAAGAAAAAACGTGAAAAAAATATTTTGATTATTCATCTGATAGGTAGGCAATATCTTGCATGTATTACATGGATGTACTGCCGGTGGCCTACCCCGAGTCTCACAGGCGCTAAGCTCTCGCAATTGCAATTTGCCAAATGCTTGCTCCGATGCACCGGCACAATGAACTGAAAACGGATACGCATTTGTTTAGTGTAGTACGCTCAAAATTTCGTATACGAAAAAAGATTCTATTATTTCCACTATTGCTATTATCGCACACTATCGTTGAAGCTGTCCCGAAACATTTACTGCCGTGTCTCCTAAGTTGAAAGTGGGACCTAAATTACACGCCACTGATTGCAATACTCGTTCTCCCCAACATAAAGTAGAAGGAGATGTGGTGTTGGTAAAGAGCGAGTAGAAAAACAAAACAACTGAATAAATGAAAACAAAAATGGTCTTGGCACCTTTCCTCTCCTGGCTCTTTCCGGCTTAAACCCTTGCGCCCCCCGCCGCGTCGCGCGCTCTCCGCTTCCGCCCGTCACCCACAATAAAGCAGCGCGGCCCGGGAGGCAAAGCGGGGCCGCGTGCGTGCGGTGCGGTGGGAATTACACTCATCTCGGCAATATGGCGGGGAGTGGCGGCGGGGGGCCCGCGGGCCGCGACTACTGGTGGCGGCGGGGCGCATATTGACATTCTTTGAGGCACCACTGTCGCGCCGCCGCCGACGACGATGAAGGGGAAAGAAATAGAAAGAAGCAGAGAGGCCGGGCGCCGGGCCGACACACGCGGCTGCTGGAGCCTGTTGAGTCGGCTGCGGCGCGCAGTGTCGCAGCGGTTAGAAAAGAAGACTGCCCGCTGCACTTCGAGGTGCCGGGGTTGTCTCACGCTCCGGGCACGTCGCCCTCGCCGAGCTGGAGCTGCTGCCCCGGCCTGTGACGGCCACCTACCCCCCGTCTTTGTCGTAACTCACAAACAGATTGTTTGCCATCGCGGGGCAGCGGGGCTCGAGAGCCGCTCGAGAGAGGAGCGCGGGGCAAGCGCCTCCGGCAGAAGGACAAATGATATCTAGCCGGCATCAGACAGTGCAGAGGTCCTTGAGCCTGGCTGCAAGGCCACACACTAGCTCCCTC